GTGGTGAGATAGCTGTTAGACTATCCCCAGATCAGAAACCCAGCAGCAGGGAACAGGTGGAGTAAGGGGTTTGCTAGACTGATAGACCAACAATTTATTTTTTGTAAGCTAAAACACCCCTGAAACAAAAATTCTTATTCCACCTTTCATATATTGACAAGAATGCTAGGAAAGGGCAATATGTCAGTTGGGAACTAAAGATGAATTTGGTACCAGTTATTCAGATCTTGAGAAAATAATGGAAAAAGAACAAATGTTCAGACCACAAACTTTATTTCTAAAATAAAGTCTAAAATTTGAAGTCAGCTTCAAAACTAAAGGCAAATAAGAAACAATTTTAAAAAACATTAAACATTAAACAACATTAAAGAAAAACATTAAACATTAAATAACATTAAATATCTACTGAAGAATTATTTTGGCCTCCAGTCATACTGGTTCAAAGCAAGCACGATCTCAGAATAATCAAAGTATCTAAGGTTAGTAAGTATAGTTGTAATTAAAGTATCGAACCTATATGAAATTTTTAAAAAATTTATGCACACACACACAGATCTGGCCTTAGGAATAAAAGTATTTTGATATGTTTTGAAAGTTAAAGCTCTGCACTATAGTAGAGTATAATAAATATTATTAACATTCACTTTAAAGATTAATGCGGAGAGTTCAAGTTCTGCAGCTCCTGAAGTGGAGTATGATACGACTTTATTTTATTTGCTATGGGACTTATTTCTCCCTCAGCCAAAGATCTCATATAATTTGAAATTGTTTCTGTTTAATACATATTTATTATTTACTTGTCTAGAAATATGTGAGTTTAATACTAGAATTAAGTCTTCAGGTACCGAGTACTTCACACTAAGTATGGAAATAAAAAATGTCTACTATCATCCATATGTGAACATTTCTACTCTATTTAATTGTTTACATATGATTATATTAGGTGCTCCGTTTGGTTTCTGAAAATTAAATGCATTTTCTTCCAATAGCATAAAAGTGAAAGAAGAAATTTAAATACCTAAATAAGTACCATTTTAGCAGTGATTTGTTACTTTACTCACCATGCCAATTTCTCCTCTTTTAGCTCAGGAGGCCTCTGGCATGGTAACAGTATTGTAGGAATCATTTCCTTCCGTGTATAGTTTCCAGGCTCAGTTTCATCAAGGAACCCCTGTCCCTACATCCAGTCTCCTGATCTCCATGCCCCATTTCACCCCTGTGCTCCAGTCATTGTGAAATACTCAGTGTCTGGAGCACAACATGATCTCAGAGTTCCACTGAAGGAACAGTTACTGAGTGCCCACATGTGGTAGGTACATTGGCATTATCATGAGCATGATTATGAGTATCAAAATTATAATGATAACGGCAGGCATTATCATTAATAAGATGACTATGACTTGGTAAAGGGTGGAGAAGTAGAACTCTCAACTGTGGGACCAAGCTGTCTCTGAGGTGATCCTATAGATCTTACCTCTGTGACCAAGGTAGCTTACAATGGATTCAGGACAAGTGAAGACACTATTCCTCACAGTTTGCAAGATCTATTAACATAGGGCATCATACAACCATCCGGGGCAGGGGTGAATGTGACTAACCAACCAACAGACTGACTGAAAAATAAATATTGATTGTAGATGTGTCCCATTTGACTTTGTAGTCTGTGTTATATTTTATTAGCCAAAAAAACAGATTTTCAGGTATGGGAAGAATGGAAGACTTTAGTAAACAACAGAACAAAGCCCACAGTCATGTGTTGTAGGAGATGTCATAGAGAAAGTGGTCTGCAGTTTGTTTGGGTTAAAAGAAAAAATAGCTGGAAGTGTGCTTTCTACCGGCACAGAGCATGAGACATAAAGAAAGAAAAGAGAAAAAGATGGTGTGCTAGATAAAGGAAATGGATGCTCTTCCTCCTAGGTAAATCTTGGTGAGCCTATAGGAAGCCAAGGCAGCCAGCCCTCAGTGGTATGGGAATAGATCAGGGTAAAGGGAAAAGAAGCAAGATAACTTTGATAATCCCAGTGAGAATCCCAAGAAGATATAACATGAAAGAAGCTTAGAAGGGAGGTCTCTCCACATAAATATACATTGTAAGCTAGCTGAAAGACAGTCTTCCCCACAGAATGTAAACCCCACAAAGGTAGGAAATGCAAGTGGTGTGTTCACTGTTTAATTCACAGCCCTGAGTATAATGCCTGACCCTTAGTATATACTCAAATATTTGTTAAATGAATGAATAAACAAATGAAGATCATCACCAGATCTAGAATTTCTTAGATTTGGGGCAGGGATCAGGGGTTACCAGTTTTACACCTAAGTAAGCAAATTTACACTGTTTCATATTATATTTACAAATATTTATATCCAGAACTTCCTGGCCTATTTTTCAGATATTCCTATGAATACTGATATTTGGAGGCTGATGTTGAATAGATACAATATGCCAACTCTGTCAATTTCTGTGATATGTGAATCAAATTGTACTGCCATGTCTGATTTGAAGGAACCATTTCAGTCCTATTCAAGCCTGTAAGAGAATCAGTAGAATGCCTGGCATGGCAATTTTTTTAAGGTTATCATACATTAGGCAGAAGAATGCAGTGATATTAGTAATGGAATTTTAAACAGTTGATCTGAGTTCAATAATTTTTCAGAGACCAAACATCCTGGGCCATGCTGTCAGCCATTTTATATATGAAAAAGTGTCCTTTAACTTATAAAATGGGATGCAAATTGGCCAGGAATAAGAAAACTTAATATGTTTTTTTTAAGATTGGCCCTGAGCTAACATTTCTTTCTAATCTTCCATTTTTTTTTCTCCCCAAAGCCCCAGTACATAGTTGTATATCCTAGTTGTAGGTCATTCTGGTTCTTCTACGTGGGATGCAACCACAGCATGGCTTGATGAGCAGTGTATAGGTCCACGCCCAGGATCCAAACCGGTGAACCCTGGGGCACCAAAGCAGAGTGCACAGACTTAACCACTAGGCCATGGGGACAGCCCCAGAAAACTTAAATTTTTTTAAATCAAGAATGTAAAGTGATAAATTAAAACATATACTGAAGCAGATACTAATGATGTAATCTGTAATGCAAAAACTCCATACCTACTATTACTAGATGCTGTGGCACCCTCAAATACTAATAGGGTTGGGTTGTCAGGCCTGCAGGGTTGTGGAAGGTAAGCTATACATCATGGCAGCAAAGACCAAAAATACGTGCTTTATCCAAACCTCAGCTTTCTACACTCAGTTTGTTCTCTGACACTTTATGAAAACTGAGCTTACTAGATAGTTCACTACCATTCACAAAAGGAAGGAAAGCAGGTTTGCGGGAAGAAAAAAACAATGAGTTTAGTTTTAGACATGTCAAATGTAAGTACCTGTGGAACATCTACATACAGAGAGCTTGTGCAATGATTCCAATATTGATTTCCTCAGCCTTTGGAGCTTATTGCCTCAGCAATGGTCAGATTTGTCCATTTATCAGAATGTTCTATACAGATATGATCATTCCAATGTGTACCATGACCTAAATATGTTTGGGAAGCACAGGTCCAGTGGGCAGTGGGATATATCAGTTTAGAATTCATGAGATGATGTCTGGACTAGAGATTTTTGGGTGCTGTCAGCACAGAGCTGCTAGTAAAAACCACATAGAGGGACTTCCACTCCTGGCCATGTTAGAGTAACCAGTACAAGACTTGACCTCCTGTTGTAACAATTAGAACACTGGACAAATATATGAAAGAGCTGTTTGTAGTCATTGAACAACGAACAGCACAGGACTATGACTCTGAAAAAGGAGAAACAAACAAGATAAGCCCTACAATCACCACAGCTTGCTGCCTGAAAGCACTTTCTGGATGGTAGCCTAGGGAGTGAGAACTCAAGCTGAGTATGGAAGTCTTGCACAGTTGAAGAGATAAAGATCAAAGTTCAGAGAGGCTGAGACAGCTAGAATTTATAAGGCAGAGTACCAGAGAAGAGGGAGCCATGTAGAGAAAGAACTAAAAAAATCTTCTACCTATAGGTCCCCTTGAGTCTGTCCTTGAATACTAAGCCTTGAGTGCCTAGGATGACAATCCACAAGGTTAGGCAAAGAAATATCAGGGAGCTTTAAGCTGAACAATTTCAAGAACTCACATAAAGCTGGGAGATGTTTAAGTTTCAATCAGTAAGAATGAAGACACAAAATAAGTCAGACCTTAGAGGTAGGGCTAAACTAGCCAGTAAAAGATGCTTTATATCTGTCCTAACACGCTTAAAAAGAAGCCTCTGATGGATCAAGCTGATCCACAAATAATTGCCTACAAAACAAAATTTAACACCGTTTAAAAGAAGTCAACAAAATCGAGACACTCAGTAAGTTGTGATGTCCAGTATCCAATAAAAACTTACTAGTTACATAGAAAAAGAAAAATGTGACCCATGACGAGGAGAAAAATCAATCATTAGGAGAACATGTAGAGAAAGAAGTGAAGGGAGGCAAAGATAGAATGCTGAGAAGTACCCAGACAAGATTTAAAAGATGGAAAGAAGAAAAAGGACCTGACAAGAGTCACTTGAAAGGAATAATACAAGATGTTAGAAGAATCAGGAGACTGTTGAGTCATAGAAGTCACATAGAGAGAAACTTTCAAAAAGGAGGGAGTGATCAAAAGGAGATCAAGCAAGCTAGAGAGTAAACACTGGATTTCACAAGAAGATACCTTCCAATCCTGGCCAGAGTAGTTCCAATGGAGAGGTTCGGGTAGAAGCCAGATTGCAAAGGGTTTGAGGAATGACTAAGATATGAGGAAGGAGAGATGCTAGTCATTTCTTCAAGGCAAGATTGTCTCTGATGCAGGATGTGCAAATATGTGTACCTTTTACCTTTGAAAATAGTTTTTAAAAAATAGTCTATAACCTTCTTTAGCAATGTCTCCTTTCTCTTGCAGTCACATTTCTTCCTAATATACAAGCAACTCCAAATAAGAATTATAAAATCAAAAGTGTTACCAAAAAAGGCATTCAGCAGCTTCTGAACCTGAATATTGCTGCCCACGGTACGGTACAATCCCTCTGTCTTGATCCCTAGGGAAAGAAAATCAGGTCAGTTTTGTTTATATAGTGAGAGCCTTCATCTCCCTCAGGGTAGAGGAAGTAGGTACTTCTGCACTAGAGTCAGTTCCAACAGCAGCGGTTCTCCCTACTCTCTCTCTAAGTTCTCCAGCCCTTCCTTGCAAAAGGGGAACAGTCCTGAAGCATCTCTCCAAATTATTCTCTCCATACATTCATTTGGATTGTACCAAGCCCTCACTAACCTGAACAGAAGAGAATACACTCTATAGTAAATAGGAGAATATGCTTAGGTGGGTAGCAGCAGATGGCTGAGAATGGTATCGCCATCTTGGAAAGGAGCCAGGGTTTAATTGAAAAGTGAAGAAATGTCAACCTTTAAGTTGCCCTTGAGCAGTGATATAAAGGAAAAGAGGGCTGGAATATGGCTGATGTGAAGCAAAAGGCCATTTTGTCCACGCAGAAAGATTTAAGTAACATTTCAGAGAAAAAGAGGCTTGACTCATACACTACACCTGCCCACATTCTAAATGTTCTCAGAGAGAAACTAGAGAGTATCGTCAAGTTGGAAAAATGCTGATTCCATATTTGTCTGAGTTTAGCTGTCCTCATCAACTTTTAAACTAATATGTATTATGGCGGAAACTGAACTCTTATTTATTTAGAATGTAACCATCATAACACTACTTGAGACGTGCCAGGTAGTATTTCAGAATACTTTATAAGCCACTTGAAGCTCTTTCTCTTTAAAAGCAGGAAACCACAAATTATCTAAATATGCTTGGATACCACTGGTTTGGAATTTGCTGAAATTGTACAAATTGTGTCTAGTGCTCAAGGTTTATAAACAGTCTTCATTCCTAAAATGGGTCCTGACCAATAGATGACATCAAAGTTACTTTAGAGAAATTGTCCCAGGATAAATTCAGACTAACCAGATTTGAACACTGCCGAGGCTATGGTTCATATCTTACCTTTGCTCTCAATGACATTGATGCACTTCCTAACAAACTTGAACCCCACTTCATTCAGCTCCACTGTTTCAAGCAAAGGAAAGCAGAGTTAGATCCTGCTGTTACAAGCCTCACCTATCGAACATTCAATGATCACACTAAGAGACTGTAGTGAGAGAATTAGGGGTTTGGTTACTCATCTCCAATCACCCTTAAATGGCAAGATTCTTTTATTCAGGTGAGATTTAGAGATTTTACTCTTATAACAAAATGCTTTTAGTTAGCCCTTTGCACTATGTCTGCTTTAGGCATGAGAAACATCAAATATGAAATGTTAGGTTGGAAATGCACACGATTTCTCTTATGTATCTAGAACAAAAGGATATAATGTGTTTCTCTATATTATTACTACTACCCCCACCATAAGCTAAGATAAGGTGACTTCCTTAGTTAATCAACAGACACATTAAAAAAATAGATCTGAATTTCATTCCAAACAGAGGCATCCATAAACACACTTGCATCAATAGTACATATCATTGCTGATAGCATTTACTGTGATTAGGATAGCTGGTAGTGTATAATATCAGTAGATCAGAAATTTGACTCACTTTCTTCCTGTTTTGTTATGGGGCTGTGGTAGATCTACAAAAGAAGAGAAACAGAGAGCCGTGGCTATTGCGAATCACGATAGGTAAGTACGGCGAATAATATTAAATCTCTTTCCCCAGATAGGCCATCAAAACAATTAGCGATTCTAAGGATTTAATAAGAAGGAAAAGTGGGCTGAACAGAATCATGTTTGCCCAGGTCCCTAGACAATAGTTGGATTAACAATCCCTGAAGATTATCTTGGATTTCATACAGCTTTCACATTGTAGCTGAAGTTGTAGTCTACCCATCTTAGACATTTACTTATGTAAAGCTTGGAGAATATTTCTGATGAAGCAAGAGAGCATGAGAGAAAGGAAGTGCTTTTTTCATGGATAGCTGGGTAATGGGCATTGATAGTAAAATTTAAATGTTCCCAATACCAACCTTTCACCCCAAAGATTAATTAATGAGTGTTTCTCTGTGGAAAGGGAAGTGTCCATCTGATAGAGATCCATGCAGTGACCAAGATTTCTCTGAGTCATCTTTAAGTATGCACTGTGATAGCTATTTGAGAGACCAAAAAGGAGATCCTTGATGCTTGAAATCTAGTCCTTGCTTTGCCTCTACCTCATTATGAAATTTTAGGCACATCCTTTTTGTTTTTCAGACCTCACAATTCATAAAATGACCAGGGTTGGAATAGATGTTTCTTCAAGCCCTGATCTTCTTTGACACTTTAAGCAAAGGTATGAATACAATGTGTAAGATTAGTGGATTGGGCTGTTTGGTAAAGTAGCAACAACATCAGCAGTGTGAGGCTGCAGAAAATAAGCCCTTTATATGCCGTCTGCTTTAATAATCTCTCCTTTGAAAATAAATGTTTTTGCATATGTGTGTATGCCCATGGAAATTTCAGGGACAGAGGTTTCAGTGCTGACCAGCCCTTGCTGCCACTTTTATAAATAAGATATTTGTGAAAAGTCTGCCATACTCAATTTGGTAAGGATCCACATTCAGTGGGCCCATGTTCTAACATCATTCTCCACAAAAAGCCATCTGCATCCTTCAATCTTTAAAACCTAAAGGGAGAGCAAGTTCAGGAGAGGGAATCAAGAGTAAAATGCTTTGCTGGGCCTCCAAGCATCCTCCTAGAGAAACATCATAGGCATGAAATAGTTAAGCTCCCGGCTTCTGGGAAGGGAGGAAGGGGAGACAGGTCCTGGCCTACTTTCTGGATGGCAGTCTTCACAACACCACTTTTCTCCTGCTACCATCTCAGTAGCTATAAATGTAATGAGGAATCTGTGCACTTCCCTCTAGTCTCCAGGGCACTGAGGACACACAGAAAGAAAACCCTGGAATATATTTCCCCTCTTATCAAGTTTCTGCTTTGAATAAAGCAAGGAGATTAGACTGTTTCCAAATGCTGTTGAATCTTATATCTTTGCACCCATCCTTCAGATCAGTTAGAAGCACCTAAAACCAATATAGCACATTATGGTTGACAGACTATCTTCCATGTGATTTTTCAACGCAAGCCTGTGAGGTAGATAGAACAGAGATTATTAAAGCCATTTTACTGAAGAGAAGAAATCTGAGTCTCAGGAAAATAAAATAACTTTCTTAAGGTCATACAACCACTGAGTGGCAGAACCAAAATCCAAATCTAAGCTTTTGGCCTTCCAACATTAGGAAGCTGATATTATTTCATATACCACTAGAAGAAACATTCTCAGGAGATACTGAAGAGAGAAAACGCTTTTCAATGATTTCTGACTGTTCACATTGGTATTTCTATGATGATCACTAACCCTTTCAAGGTATTGCTTGTCCTCCTGTGTAACAGTGTTCTAAATGGTGTGGTACATCTTGGGATACAGGATGGCAATGCCATCTCCAACAGCTGTACCCTTAAAGAGAAAAAGTTGACTTGGGAATTGTAAGACGCGGCAGAAAAACCATTTTGAATAAAATCTTAATAAATGCTTGTTCACAGCCATGACAATTATTTTCCATTCTCCTATATGAATACAAACTAATTTTATAAACTGAAAAAAGGCTTAATTTTCTTGCTTACGAAGATCTTCTGGGCATAGCTGCATAATCTAACACTGGGGCCCAGAAGCTGAGAGACCTGGATTCTAGGCCAAGCTTTGATGCCTTCTATGAGGGTGATCCTTGAGAAATCTCTCATCCTCTCTAGAAATCAAGTTGCCCTACTTGTTAAACAAGAGACCTCAAATCAACAACTCCTTCTAGCTCTAAAATTTTGAGTCTGAAGGATCTACTACCATTTAATTGTCCTAGACCCACTGGTACTCGTAACACTAGAGGGCATTCATACACTGAACCATGTTGCTAAGATTTCCCCAGTGTCTCTGATAAACTTACAGGTTCTTTCCCATCCATGGCCTCCATCCATAGCCTTCTGTTAGCTTCTGAAAGGGCCTGCAGAGTGATGGTTCCAGGCCTAAGGAAAAATGACAAGTTGAAAGCAGGAAACTCACCTGAGAGAATGAACTCGTTTGATCTAGGGTCCCTCTTAGCCCTAGGAGATGTCACACCGAGCAGGCACAGGCATCCCGAATTCCAATTTTTCAAAATCTTTTTTAGTCAGAAAAACAATGGGACATTTAGAGAACAGTAACTTGGGGAACCCTGGAAGAGGTGGTATCTTGGTGGCCTCATGCCAGGGTTGGGCAAGGAAATAGGAAGTTAGATGCCAAGACACTTTACCACAATACACTCTTAAATTGGCCCTATTGTGCTTGAGTCAAAGTGAGGGTCTTCCTGCCTCTCTCTCTTGGAAGCCAGCCATTTAGTCTGGGCTGTAGTTGTGAGCATAATCAGCACGGGCACATTCATTTATCAGGAAAATGGCTTTGCTACTTTCATCAGCTAGGATGTCTAAGGAGCATTTCCAGTTGGAAAGAATTCAACAACATGTACCCTGGCTCAGCCACAGGGAGGAGGCCTTTCAGTTGATGTAAGCAATCTTATAACCAATAATAATAAGTAACAGTTATTGAATGTTCGCTAGGTGCCAGGTTCTAAGTGGTTTATAGGCATTAATTCATTTAATCTACCCAGGAAGCCTATAAAGCAGGTACTATAGTAATCCCTCTTTTACGGAAGGGAAAACTGAGGTACAGAGATATTACCTAAGTTCACACAGTGACTAAATATAGGATTTGAATTTAGGAATTCGAATTTAGGAATTCTGGTCTAGCAGTCACGTTTTTTCTTAACCATTACACTATAAGGCCTCTTCTGCATGACAAATGGCTTCAAACCCAATTTTATTTTATTTACTTACAGGCTACCTATACCCAGAGTTACCCCAAGTTAGTATAATCTGTATGGTCTTTTTGGATCTTCACAATCAAACTGGAAATTTGGGAATGATTGCATTATTGTAGGCATAAAGTCTCCTTGCATTCTCTGCCTAGCTGCACTATTATCAGAAGCTTATTCCTCTCACTCCTTCTATGTTAAGATGAGACCTCTCTCAGAATCACAAAATGATAAGAGCAATGACAGCAGAGTTCAGAGACCCTGGAAAGTCACTGGGCCTCTTAGGGCCTGTTTCTTTATCCATAAGGGTGTTGGAACAGATGAGCTGGGAAGTTCTTTCCAATTCTGACATCCTGGGATCCCTGCTCTACCTGCCTTTCCATCTCTTACTTCATTAAAGTGCTCCTTAAAAAGAAAAGCCCTCACATGATCTTTAAGCCAGAATGAATTGAAAATCAGAACTTGGCTTTGGGCACTGGATTCTTTCAAGTTTATCCTTCTCTAAGCAATACCCAACATTTTGGATATATCTTATGGGGCTAGAAAGTCTAGATATCTTTGTAAAGACAGCTACTCAGCTGAATCTCGAAGCCAGAAGGAAGGAAAGCAAGCCAATGGGCAACAGATATAAAAGCAGACACTGCAGAACAGATATGATATTAAACCTGTTCTGGAACTCAGCTTCCCTATCTGGGAAATTGAAGTCCGGTTTGTGTTCTCTCTCGACCTTACAGAGAAGCTGAAAGAATAAATGACTATCCAGAAAGCATTTAGAGATTCTTATGTGCCACAGAAAGTCAAATTCAAAGAACAATACTGTTAAGAACAGATTTACAAAGTAGAAGGAGTACTGACTTCTAGTCCAGGACCTTCTATTACGACCTCAGACAAATGCTTTGCCATCCCTGAGGTCTCAGTCACCTATCTTGAACAAAATATACAGCATATTTGAAGTAGAGTGCAGTGGTTAAGAGTGTGGGCTTGGAGACTAGAATGCCTGGGTTTGGATCCTGGCTCTACCGTTTCCTAGCTGTGTAACCTAAGTTGCTTTACTTCTCTCTGTCCTCTTATCTTCCTTTGTGAAATTGGGATAATAATACCCTCTAACTCACGTGACTGTAGTGAGGACTAAACGAAATTATACACTTAAAGGGTTGAGAATGGTGCCTGGCACATCGGAAGTACTCAGAAATTGTTAGCAGTTGTTGTTGTTGTTACTGTCCTTCAAGCTCTGACAGGCTATGAGCCTGTGGCTTTAAATACTGGTAGGAACACTAATAAAAAAGTTATCCTCTATTCCTGAAGTAGAAAAAGGGACTCAAAAAGCCCTTTGTTCTGTGCTGCAGAGAACACAAGTACAGGTGCCTGATGCCTCCTGGGAAGCCTGACTCTGTTCCTTATATCAGATTGATTAGCCAGAAAAGCAGATGTCACATCCCTCAGAAAAGTCTGGCTCAGCACCTGTTCATTATGATATTTGACTCTCCATTTCACAGCATATTTATTTTGCTTATAATAGACAATGGAACAAAACTACAAAGAACAAGGGCCTAGGACACCTACAGACGAGAGTTTGAGCTCAGCCTTGCTGCTATGTGACTTTGGGTAAGTCAGTTAAACATATTTAAGTGTCAGTCTCCCCTCACCTGTAAAATGGGGGAGCCAGAAGAGTCAAGAATAAGCGAATGTTTTCTAACGTGCCCAATATGTGGTAACTAAAGTCATAGACACATCAAAACTTTAATTCTTGGGTTCTAGTGTCAAAATTCCTCAGCATTCTAAGGTAGGAAAAAATACATTTAAAAATGAACACCAAATTTACTGTCATCTACCAGGAGCCATGTATAGCACTAGGTACAAGATATATAAAGATGAATTGGTTCCAGCCCCTAACTTTAGGGCCAAACTGCAACTGATTCTAGACCAAGAACACATTATTTGCAAGTAACTTGCAAATTTAAGCTGAAAAGGGAATCATAATAGAACTAGAGATAGAAAATTTTAATGTGTTTTAAGCAGCATGCTGCTGCAAAGCCAGAGACACTAAAGGTTCATGAAAGAGAAGCCATAGCCAACAATAATTTTCCCCTTCCTACTGGGCCTGAAGCTGTCAGAAAAATGAGTGACAGCCTCCTGGTTACAGATAACAGTGTTTACCATCACAGTCATCTTTGATTGGGACCATCCATTTTTAATGAAGAAATCTTACAAATTCACAAACAACCAAGTCCAAAGTTTGTAAGCCTTAGCTAAAATCAGAAATTTGATAACCAATTTCTACTCTACATAAATATCTGCAAAGTAGAAAAGTCTGTATCATATTTGCACCAAGTGGGGGAAAAAGGCTCCCCAGTACCATTACCACCCTCCATCTCATCTATCTTCCCTTAAAAATGTGTTCCAATTTACTTGTTCTTATATGTTATGTTAGGAAATTTTTTTAAAAAGAATGAGTTCTCTCATCCTGTCCTTTTTTGCAGCATCACCAAATGCTGACCTTTTGCATATCTGATAGCAAATTAAATCCTAGGAGTGACTTTTCTGCCTAGAGGAGGTGAGGCAAAGCTGACTGAAGCTTGCGTAGAGAGCTCTGGGCCAGATCTAACATGGATCCCTATAAAGGGCAGCCAGAAGAGTCAAGACAACAATGCCATGAATATATTTGCCCATTTTCATCAACAAGAGATGATAGAGGAAAATAAAAGACCTGCCCGGGCTCAGCACCAGGCACATAGGGACACCACCAATTCACACCAGCACAGCTTACCTTTCATTAGTTTCTATATCAAAACAGAACCGCTTGTCAATAGACTCCGTCTTCCTTCTCACGCAGTACTTCAGGGTTAAGTCCAAGGGACCCTGATATAAGAGAAATATTAATAGCCAATTTGAAAAAAAAAAATGCACAGAAGCTTCTTCTTCCTCCTGCAGTGTCCTCAGAGTCACTTGGAAGGCATCTGTCAGAGAAGCAGGAGCAATGTGTAGCCTCACTGAGAACCTTGTCCCTTGAAATGGTAGTTGTAGCAAGATGGCAGATGGTGTCTCCCTGCTCCAAGAATCAATGGCTGAGGCCAGGAGAAAACGCCTAGGGTAGGCCAGCATTCTTTTCCAAGCATGGCAGATTAAACAGGAAGCTCATTACACATCATCTAAGGAGAGTGTACAAGAAATGGGCTGCCCAAATGGCATTATGTACAGAATAAAATTTGCATGAGAGCTCTGGGTAGGGAAGTTGCAATGGGTAAGTGGCTTTCTGCAACCCTTCTTCCATTAAAGTGGCAGATGGAGGAGGGGAGACAAACATTTCTGTTTCCCACCTCCAGACTCAAGGATGACAGGAATCACAAAAGCAATCTCTCCAAAGATACAGCAGAAGTAGGGAGAATAAGCAAATTTGTGTATTAGCCAAGGCAGCATTTGTTATTTTACATGTGCAGCATAGTATGGCCCACCTTAGTCTTTTGGGCACGTAACAAGGCCATTGAATCTGTGTCTTCAGATTAAAATTCCCCAGCCCCACATTGTCCAGTTATCTCAACAGAAACAATGAGGTATAGGAAAGAGAAGTAACATTTATTGATCACCTCCTATGTGCCACATATTTATATTAGGTATTTTTAAACCAACTTTCCTAATAACAACTCTTATTATTATTATTATTATAGTCTCATTTATTTGTATTCTTTGTCTTTCTAAAACACAAACTAGTAATAGGAACTGAGTCAGAGACCTGACAAGAAACCATTTCCAACTCCAATTTAGGGAAATTCAAGTAACTACTTCCACATCCCCTTCCTTCTAAATGAAGAATCAAGTTCCTCTTTCCATTCCATAAAGAATCCCATATAAAACTGCTTAGGCTGACACTATTGAAGTTTTGCAAGCAGCCACTCAAAGAAAATGGAAGAGGGAAAGAAAAACTAAAATGAGGGCTTGCTCTCATTTGCTAGGAGAATATGAAAGTGGTATCTGCTGCCTCTGTCCTGAGCTTTGCATCAGGTACCTCTGAGCAAGAGAGATAGGGCCTAAATTAGCTTACTGTCTAAGTAAGGAACTTGAAAGTCCAGTATTTGGAAAGCAATATGTGTAGAAAAACAAAAGGAAGAGACTAAATGACAGTGTTGCTTATAAGCACTTGCCAGTCAGATACATTAACTAAGTTCTGACAGAACTGGAACAAATTCTATGCTACAGCACAAAATGAACGTATTTGAACCACACTGAAATGTGCTTTGGCAATTGACAGACTGGAAACTACGGAGACTTTTGGAGTCCTGAGTGAGTGACTGGCCCACACAGAAGCATGGGTGAGGGTTCTGGAAACCCCGTTTGATATGCTTCCTTAGAGGTGCCTCCCATCTCTAACCCACACTCAAAGCAGAGTGGCAAAACTTGTGGTTAAAGGCAGAAAAAAAGCAGTTTGTCAACAGCCTGCCAGCAAATCTCAGTCTTCTTTAATTTCTCATGAATAAGCCACACAAGAGAGAGCTTCCATAGAAAGCACCAGCAATGGAGAGAAATTGGCCCAATTTTTCTCCAAATTCCTGCCTGTCTAAATTGGATCTCCACGCACCACAACTTTCAAAGCTAACAAGTGAACCTTTTTTCACTTTGTAAACAATTTGTAAAGAATGTAAATCCTTAAAAATCATCCCTTAAGATCCTGTCTCAGAGACAGTTTAAGGGACACATTGAACAATTTTTAGAATATGAATAGTCTCTCTGTTTTTATCTTAAGAAACTGTTTGGAGATAGAGAGAGAGAGTGTGTGTGTGTGTGTGTGTATTCACAAAGCCTCTAAAAAGATAGGCAAAAGTAAGATGACAGAATAAAGTTTTTGGCTGCATGGTCATATATCATATATCATGTTACATCATGTCATATCATATAACATCATATCATATATAAGATCAGGTTCTTCCAGGTGAGTAAACTATCTTCTCAGTGTGTTAAACTCATCTTGCCATTTTGGGAAGTGGGGGAAGGTTTGGAGGGCAGAAGAAGAGGCATTAACTGCTTAAAGATATTTGAGCATTACATAGAATGTGAGGTATAGGTGATTCCAAATTTAGGCAACAGACATACTCCTTTAAAAAAGGAATTTTGGAAAATGATTTATGGTTTAAACACTTGTAATTTGAAGGAATTCTGTAGTAGAGCCTTCTTAAAAGCAAGTAATACTCTCTTCTTCCAATTCATCCATATTTTTGCAAATTTTCTTTGTACAATGTGGCAGGCACTTGTAATTAATCAACAAATGGTCTGAAAGAGTACAGGCACCTTCAGAAGGCCTGACACAATTAACAGAGATTTTTCACTCAACTGAGTAGTATCTGGCCCAATGCAAACTTAGGCTAAGGAGAATATATGAAGTCATAGATTCCCACGACAATGATGGACTTGATTCTTTGATACTAAGTCAACATATACTCTTTCCTGAGATACAGCTACAGATGCATTTCAAAAAATCTGGCTCACAAAAGAACTAACCTGCTTAGCGCCTGGCTTCTGCTCCATAGGTGTCATGGTGAGCGTTTTGGTCTCTTTCTCATACTGGCAGTAGTATTTCACCCAGGATATTCCCAAAGCCCCTACAAAGATAGGCAAAAGTGAGCCGATGGAATAAACTTTTTGGCAGCATGGTCAGTCCACCCCTAAGATGGAAACTATGTACAGCTTGCTCTTCATGGTCGTGCTCCAGAACCAGCCCTACCCTTCCCCTGAACTCCAGCCCTGTAGTACCATCTGCCCACTGCACATATGGAGATCCTAACCCTCATCAACTGCTTTCCATATTTGTTCTGGCTTACTCCAAACCATTCTCCTTGCCATATTGCCTATGAATGCTACCACTACACATCCTATGGTAACATAGGATGAGCTGGAAACATCTATAATCTTCTGCTCCTCCTTTCTTGTAACCTGCCTCATTTAATTGATGGTTGGGTTCAGCCCATTCTATCCCCGACATGTCTCTCCTTCGGCTGTCTCCTCCTCTCTATTCCTTTTAGAACTTAATTAAATTAGTTCAGAAGTCTATTGCTAACTTATATTTTTAATGTTTTATGAAATATTTCTAAATAAACAAAAATTCATTATTTCTTCAATTAATTATTTCAGTGGCATTCTCTCTGGTTTCCCCCATCTCTGATCACTCCTTTCTAGTCCATTCTCCACTCTTTTGTTAGAGGAATGTTTTTAAAATATATATCTCTATTAATGTGGTTTCTCTTACTATAAACCACTCATAGATTTCTCACTATCTCCAAACTTCTTAGGTTGGCCCACAAACCCCTTCATAATGTGATCATATTTACCTTTCCAACTTTGTCTTTTTCCACCCTCACCTCTATGCTCCTGTCTCATTAAATTACTTTCAGTTACCAAATAAATAGGTGGCCATATAATTTACAATCCAAATTCAAGACATATTTAAGAGTGAATGAAGCACTATTAATAATTACATCAGGACAATGGGTATAAGCCAGGACTGTTCTTGGCAAACCAAGAAGACTCTACAAATAAACTAAGTCCTCACACACCTCTATGCCTTTACTCATTCTGTGTTATACACCTGAAATCTTCTTCCTCTTTTCCTTTACTTGTCAAACCCCCACTCATAATTTAAGTTCCAGTTCAAACATCACTTCCTCAGTGAAGCCCTTATATACAGGCCCCAAATGCAGTACTCAACACATTTCATTATAATTCTTGACATACTTGTCTGTCTTCCTCATCAGACTCTTAACTTCTTGAAGGCAAAAACCAAGGCTGATTCATGTTTTTGTATCCCAAATGCATTGCATAGTGTCTGGCAAAAAGGATGTTCAGTAAGCATACATTCAACTGAGTAGCAATGTCATATTCATTTGACAAATTAGAAAACCAGGGCATAGAAGGATCACATAGCTAGTTAATATTAGATCCAAGATTACAAATCCATTATTCTGCACCTCTTTATAATATAGCAGTGACTCTCAACCAGGGGCAATTTTGCCTCCTAGGGGATATTTTGCAATGTCTGGAGACAGTTTAGGCTGTCACACCTGGGGAGTGCTATTAGAATAAAGTAGGGAGAAGCCACTGATGCTGCTAAACACCCTATAATGCACAGGACAGCCCCCCAAAACAAAGAATTACGCAGCATGAAATGTCGATAGTGCTGACACTGAGAAATCCTGCAATGCAGAGTTGAAGAGATGAATCTGACAAGTGGAAGAACCATGAAAATGTAATTGCTCTAAGGGAGGAAAAGCATGATAATATAGTGCTAAAATGCCATGCTTTGTGGATTACAGTGGTTTTTGCTCTTGGTAACCTCTGGGCAGCCTCTTTGCCTACTCCCCAGGTAGAATAATTCTGGGCAGGCACTGAAATCACAGGCTTTTGGGGCATTGGGTCATAGTTCATAAGGAAAATAGAATAGCACATACGTGTTTGCATAATGTTATTTAGGAAGTAGGAAAGCATAAATCCTCTGAAATATTCACTGAATGGATAAGTTAACCCAGTTTCCTTGGCTAGCAATGGACAACTGTGTTGCCCACTGAAATCATGATGGTCTTTTAGTGCTTTAAGAGCAACCATGCAATGCTAAGGCAGTGGAAGGTATAGGGTATAGTGGTAAGAGCATAGGTTTTGGCATTTCACAGACCTGAGTTTACTCTTAGGTGTACTACTTGACAGTTGCGTGATTTTCAACTACTGATCTCTCTAAGCCTCAGTAGCCTCATGTGTAAAATGGGTATGATAAGGTAGTTTCAATGATTAAATGAGATAGTGAATTTAAAGCACTTAGCACCATGCCTGGTACATAGTAGGTGTAATAAATATTATAATAAATATTATTTTTCTTCATCCTTTCCTCTACGTCCCTTTTTGCCCCAAAGAGTCATCGGAAGGATTAAATGGTTAACAATCCCCATTCTGAATATCAGAGAAAACCTTAGGTCTTATCATCCAGAGTATTTGTAGGACAAATCCTTAACATCTCCCTCCAATTTCTCCTTGCTCTTTATTTTCACTATTCCAAGGCTGCTCTCCAAAGAGGTGTAGATGTCAGGGGTCTGTGAACATTATGGGTGCCTGGAGTTTGGTGAGGCCAAGTGGCAGTAGGTGCCAGCCAATTGAAACCCAGTGGATATCTCTGTATTCCCACACACATTTCTCTTGCGTATAGAGATAGCCTTCAATGGTAGGCTGTCCTGGAAGTTTGCACGTCTGGGGAGCTTCTTTCATTCTTTTCTTAAGTTCTTCCATCTCTTCCCGGGTACTGGAGAAATGATTTCTTGTCTGTCAAGACATTATCACCATAATCATTATCACCATCATCATCATCATGAATAAGCATTTATTGGTCAGAGACCCAGTGCAGAGTTTTCTCGGCTTTCATCATGCACTATAACATAGCAATAAACAAATGTTGAATGGCATAGTGACTAGGAAACAATTCTATGGAGTTTAACAGTACTGAAGGATAAAGGAAAAAAGAAACATAAATAGCAATGTACCCATAAAACTACATCTGGGAGACTTTTTTTCGCAGTGGGAATCACATAAGGGTCCAATAAATAAGAGCTCTTGGAATTCTGAGCAACAGACTGACACTTTCTTTACAAAAGGGGAGACTGTAAAGAAGCTTCCAAAGATAACATTATCACAGCAACTTCTAACTTCTGCGTCGAGTAAAGGTGCTGCCTACTTGACTCTGAATCAAATTCTGGCCATTAGGATAAAATATATGAGAGGGTGCTCCCCTAGAAGATAGGTCAACAGAAAACTTATTTTTCAAACTCATGAATGACAAAAGCTAATGGTAAGAAGTAATATATTTAAAAATACACAACTAAAACACAATGGCAAACACAGTTTGAAATGTGCTATGAAAATCACTAGAGATAGGTCCTTAATGTTCAGTCTCAAGATTGTCACATGATGTCAGTGAAAAAGGTGATCTGGGTTGCCCAATCCAATTGGGCCCACTCTATTGATTATCCTATAAATGAGTTCGCCATATATATATATATATGCAAAGGCTTGTTGTTAAATTCATACTTGTCAAGTTATATTTGGAGAGTCAAGTGATTAACCTGGTTATAGAAATATTTTGTAAATCAGCAGAAGATAGAGGTCTCACATTCTGGTGAAAGAGTACCCAGAAAGAAGGAGAGTGCCCAGAAAGAAAAACAATAATAGCAACTATAAGTCAGGATCCTCCCAAACAACCAAGTGGTTTATTTCCACTGCAATTTATCAACCTTTTTCACCTAGAAATACATCTATAAATTTCATGCAATGAAAGAACTAGTCCAAAGTCACTACCTCAGTAGTGGCTTCTCTGACTATACCAGGCAGTCAATTGTACCACTCTCCATGTTTCTTTAAAATTTTTGGTCTTAACTCTATTGTAGCACTTATCATAAGGAATTAGGATTTATGTCTGTCTCCTCCAAGGGACTGTATATTCCTTGAAGACATAAAAAACTAACAGGCCTTATAATGGCATGTTCAGTGCCTTTTAAAATCCCTGGCACAGAGTATATATGTTCATTATATCCATAAGCACTCATTAAATGTGGGTTAAATAAATGAATGAGAAAAAGAATATATGTGACAAGGATGGGAAAGCTGCACCTATGCCCATCTATAAGAAATAGCATGGGAAAGAAGGTGGAGAAAACATTTAAGAATAATTTATTTAACTCTAGTAATAAGTAGTAAGAAAAGGAATGGGGGGAAAAATGGCATTCATGATAATAAAACCCACAATTAGAGTGTCTTGAGTGACCAGGAGGGAAGTAGCATAAGACCTGTGCTTAAACAAGCCCATAGCTTGGTTCTGATCTTGGAGAGATGGAGCAAATTAGCAGCACTTAATAAATATTAGCTAGATAGAGGTGTCACTGGGTGGAAGAGTGGGTTTGAACAACATTCAGCCTCAATGACAGGGAAGAGCTGACACCGGAAGAGCAAGAATAGTCAAGTACACTAAAATATTTGTGATACATATCAGTGCATCCTGACAAATTGGCTGGGATGCAATAATCTAGAATTCTAAGATCAAGGTCATTAGGGCTGAAATCCAATTAGAATGCAGAGACAGGTAAAAAAAAAACCCACATGCAAACTCACATTCTGCAAACTGAGCTGGAGCTGCTGTTTGTATGGGAGGAAATCCTGTGTGAGCTCTACAGTCAAGCTGTTGGAAATGAAGAGGCTATGAAGAAAGGCCAAGACCTATGGAAAATGTGTAAAAATTTTTTTATCACCAGTATAGTGTTAAAAGCAGTCATGCAAACACAAACAGGTCTACACATAACTATTCTCTCATTAGGTTAAACATTTACATTGAACTCAGTTTCAGAAAGTAAGAATTACTAACAAATTTATTCATTTGGATCTTTTTCGGATAGCATATAAGAAGATTTATAATTTGGACAACATGGGAATAGACTGTAACTTTTCTCTCTATATCCTCAGGACTGGCACATAGTAGGTACGATAAACATTTGTTGAATGACTAGATAAGTAAATGGATAAATGAATGAAGTAAGATTCTGTACCTTAATGAAGACTATCATAATGCTAAAAGATCCAAGGAGTGTGAACCCATTTTCAGAGTAGAAATGTTTCAGAGGGGTTGCAGAAGAAGACATACAAATGATCAATAAAATATACTTTTTAATGTTCAAAATGTTCAACCCCATAAAAAGTCAGATACACGCAAATAAAAAGAAAAGATATATGATTTTCATCTATCAAATACAAGCATTTTAAAAATGATGCTCAACGTTGGCAATAGTAAAGTGTAATAGGAAGTAGTCAAAATTGCTCCATTCTTTTTAGAAAGTAAATAGGCGAACACATATAAATTGCACACACACACCATATACTTTTACACACATGTATATATATACAGAAACTATATATATATGAATATATAAACAATAAAAACTATGTACATATACACGTGTATGTACTAAACACACTGTGTATATGTGTGTACATATATATACACATATATATATACACTGTATATATATATACAGTCATATACACAATCTTCCTGTTTCTCTCCCAAGCTTTCCCATCTCAGGATATGACACCACCACCCACTCAGTCAATCAAGCCAGAAAGTAAAGAATCATCCCTGATTTCTCTTTCACTCACATCTCAATCCAATCCATCAGTAATTCCTGTCAGTTTTGCTTCCAAAATAGATCTCTAATCTAGCCATTCTTTTCTGTTTCCACTACTACCATCCTAACCCAAACCAACATCTTCTCTTGCCTAGAGCATTGCAGTAGACTCCTAACTGGCTTCCTCCCTTCTACTGTTGGCTTCTTCCAAGCCATTCTCCACACAACAGAATCAGCTCATTTCATATCCTATTTAACACCCATCAGTGGTTTTCCACTGCACTTAGACTAAAATCCAAACCCTGTATCATGCCTACAGGACCCATACCTTCCTATCAGACATTATTTCCTGCCACTCTCCTTTTCGCTCAGCGCTATCTAAAGGCACTAATCTTTTCATGCCTTGAGCACATCATTCTTTCCTAACGTAAGGACAGTGTGCATATGTTTTTCTGTGCATAGAATGTTCTTTCCCCATTATTCACATAGCCTCATCTTCTCTTTCTTTAGTCTTTATCTTAAATGACACTTCCAGAAGTCCTCCTTGGCCACTTGATCTAAAGTAGCTGCCTATTCTTGTTCTTTGTTTCAGCCCTTATCACAGCTTACAGTTTTTTTTTAAGTGTATCCTTCTTTCCCGTCTGTCTACCCGACAAGAGTGTAGTCTTCATAAAGACAGTCTGTCTTGTTCATTATAGGATACCCAGTGTTTAGCACAGCACCTGGCACATAACAGAAGCTTAATAAGTGTTTATTGGATAAATGAATAAATACTTGTTTGTACATATACAGATATATACAAATGTGAGCACAGATATACATGCTCATGTGCAATATATATACATGTGTATACACACCCACATCTATAACTATACATGCACACATAGATAGAAACAGAAATATAATAGATACACAGAGAATTTGGAAGGAAAAATGCCACAATATTAACAGTGATTATCTTCGTATGGGGGATTTGTTGTTTTTATTTTGTTTTTCCTATAATTTTTTCTAGCTTCTCTGCAATAAAAGCACATAGTTTTTATAGTAAACAGGAAAGTTTTTAAAATTCATAATAATTGTCATATCAAAGCACATCATCTTTTATAATAAATTAAGGAGATTTAAGTAGAAAAAAATTAAAGAAGATAGAAGTAAAAATAATAGAATGAGAAGTCATTAAGTGCAAAGGACATGAGTTCCTAGCAGTGCCTGGCATATGATGGGTACTTTCAGAGGCTTTATCAAAACAAGACAGGAAGGAAGGGAGGAGAACAAGGTAACAGGAAGGTTGACGAAGAAATTGAAGGAGGGAAGGAAGGAGAGAGGAAGAAAAGAAAAAGGTAAAACATCATAGGTAGAGAGAGAAAATGTGGGAAGAAGGAGAGAGGGGGGAAGAGTGAGGAAGAGAGAGAATATTAGTGAAAGAACAAGAACAACACAAGCCAGTGTGTCTACTTTCTTGACACTCATCATTAAGCATTGATTATTCTTCACATTCTTTGAGATTCCAATTTTATGATCAAAGTTCTCCACATTTACCTGGTATCTGGTAAATATTTTTAGACCATTCATCAGTAGATAGAACTTACTGGCTCCACAATATTGAACTTCTTGGACTCCTGAACTTCCTGGATTTGATAAACATAATCAAGGGAGGACTCGAAGAAATTGTGCCTCTCCTTGTCCACCTGGAGATCTGCCTGTAGTTGAAGGGTAACAAATGACACAAATTGGAATAGTCATTCATATATGTCAATGCTTATGGACTCAACGGAATGCTAGAGGTAGATGAGAATTAGCCATCAAGTATTGATCTTATCCCTTTATTTTACAGATAGGGAACATGAAACCAAGAGATAAAAAGTGACTGATGCAAGACTTCAGGTTTCTGGTCCAACAAGGTAATAGCTTGGAAGTTATCATGCCCATCCTCATACAAGAAAAAAGCTGAACAGGTTGAAAATCAACAACTCCTCTTAGATCCAACAGGTATAAATCAAACAAAATATGTACTAGATCTATATGACAAAAACTATAAAACTCTAATGAAATAAATCAAAGATGTAAATAAATGGAGAGATAGCCCATGTATATGGATAGGAAGACTTAATATTATCAAGATGTCATTTCTTCACAACTTGATCTACAGATTTAATGCAACCTAATTCGAAATCCCAGCAAGCTATTTTCTGGATATCAACAAAGTGATTCTAAAGTTTGTACGGAGAGCCAAAAAAAATACAGAATCGCCAAGACAATATTGGGAAAGAAGAACAAATTGAAGTATTGACATTATCTGATTTCAGAATTACAATAAAGCTATAGTAATCAAAACAATTTGGTATTGGTGAAAGAATAGACAAATAGATCAATGGAACAGAATAGAGAGCCTGAAATAGATCCACATAAATATTGCCAATTGATCTTTGACAAAGGAGCAAAGGCAATACAATGGAGCAAAGGTAGACTTTCCAATGAATGGCGCTGGAACAACTGTACATCTTCATACAAAAGAAAACAGAAACAGACCTACTTAGGTTTTACACAATAATTAACTCAAAATGGATCACAAACCTAATGTTAGACTCAAAACTATAAAACTCCTAGAAGATATCATAAGAAAAAATATAGGTGACCTTGGACTTAGCAATGACTTTTTCAGATATAACATCAAAAGTATGATACATGAAAGAAAAAATTGATAAGTTAGATTTCATTAAAATTAAAAACTTCTGCTCTGTGAATAACTCTGTTAAGAGAATGAAAAGCCACAGACAGGGAGAAAATTTTTGTAAAACATCTATCTGATAAAGGACTGGTATAGAAAATATACGAACAGTTGTTAAAGTGTAACAATAAGAAAACAAACAATGCAATTAATAAATGAGTAAAAGATTTGAACAGACACCTCACGAAAGAAGATCTAGAGATGGTAAATAATAAAGACACGAGAAAATTTTCAACATCATATGTCATTACGGGAATGCAAATTACAACGGTAATGAGACATCACTACTCAACCATTAGAATGGCTAACATCCAAAACATGGACAACACCAAATGCTGACAAGGATGTGGAGCAACAGGAATTCTCATTCATTCATGGTAGGAATAAAAAACAGTACAGCCACTTTGAAAGATAATTTGGCAGTTTCTAACAAAACTAAATATATTCTTACCATGCAATCCAGCAATTGTGCTGTTTGGTATTTACCAAAATGATTTGAAAAGATATGTATACAAAAATCTACACACAAATGTTTATAGCAGCTTTATTAATAATTGACAAAATTTAGAGGAAGCCAATATGTCTTTCAATAGGTGAATGGATAAACAGACTGTGATAAATTCACACAATGGAATATTATTCAGTGCTAAAAAAAAGTGACCTATCAAGACAGAGGAACCTTAAATGCATATTGCTAAGTGAAAGAAGCCCATCTGAAAAGGTTATATTCTGTGTAATTCCAATTACATGACATTTTGGAAAAGGCAAAAATATGGAGACCATAAAAAGATGAGTGGGAGGAATGACATCAGCTTCTTGGTGGAGTGAACTCTTCCCTTGTACTCTCCCCTCTAAAATACACAGGAAAGGACATTCACAGACCAATAGAGGACATTCACGCAACACAAAAGACATCTGAGACACATGCAGCCATATATCTGATGGTGGAGGTGCTGAAGCCCCCGGGGGAAGTAGAAGGAGGTACGGGAATCTTCTCTTTCTCCTGAATGGCAGTGACCCAGGGACTACATGTGGCTCTGAGAGGAAAGAAGTGAGGGGTGGCCCTCTGTGGGAACACCATCGCTCTCTGAGTTCCCTCCCAGCCCATGGGAAAGCACCACACAGAGGTGACTAAGCTATCATGGGGGTGTCTTCATCAAGCTAGCACCCCAGGAGAGCAGACAGCAAGGGTCGAGGGAGAACAGCCCTGGGATCATGCAGGCAAAAGAAAGAAACCCTCCCTCCAGCCCGCACTCCAGTTCAGCCAGTCAGCCAGAGAGCCACACAGATAGAAAAGCAGCCAGCTGATGGAACAAGGAAGCCATGGATTGTGGCAGGCTCAGAATACACAGCTCTTGACCCTCACCCAGTGGCATCAGATGGAAACGGCGACCAGATACTATCACTATGCAGAGGCACAAATCCACACCGTAAAGAAGTATGAAAAAATATATTAAATCTCCAGACCAGAAGGAAAATGACCATTAGCCAGAAATCAATCCTGAAGGCACAGAAATTCATAATCTAAATGACAGAGAATTCAAAAGAGCTATCATAAAAAACTCAACAAGTTACAAGAAAATACAGATAGTTCAATGAAATCAGGAACTTCTTCATAAAACAGATCGAAACTATAAAGAAGAACCAGTCAGAAATGTTGAAGATGAAAAACGAAATATATGAGATAAAGAAAAATCTGAACTCCCTAAACAATAGAGCAGATATTAGAGAGAAATGAACCAGTAGTTTTGAGGAGAGAGAACTAAGACTAAAAAGAAATGAAGAAATTCTCTGAGAAATATTCAACTCAATTAGGAAATGCAATGTAAGGATTAAAGGTATTCCAGAGGGAGAAGAGAAGGAGAATGGAGCAGAAAACTTGTTCAAATAAATACTAGCTGAGAACTTCCCAAACCTGGGGAAAAGGCTGGAAATACAAGTGAAAGAAGGCATTAGATCTCCTAACTATATCAATGTAAAAAGACCTTCTCCAAGGCATATATTAGTAAAGCTAGCAAAAGTCAATGACAAACAAAAAATACCAAGGGCAGCAAGGCAGAAGAAACAACTTATACAGGAACCCCTATCACGCATTCAGCAGATTCCTTAGCAGAAACCTTATAGGCTTGGAGAGAGTGGAATGATATATACAAAATTCTGAAAGACAAAAACTTGCAGCCAAGAATACTCTACCCAGCGAAAATATCCTCCAGATACGATGGAGAAACAAAAACTTTCCCAGATAAACAAAAGCTAAGGGAGTTCATGGCCACAAGTCCCTGCCTACAGGAAATTCTCAAGAAAAGCCTTGTACCTAAAAAAAAAGAGAAAGGGCTTACAAAGCCCTGAGCAAGGAGATAAATGGTTAGGCAAAATCAGAAAATTGCAGCACTCTGTCAGAACAGGTCAGCAAACACTTAATTATAACATTAAAGATAAAGGGAAGGAAAACACCAAAAGTAAATATGATCTCATCATTTTAACCACAAACTCACAACCCAAGATGGAATAAGAAGTGACAATAATAACTTAGAAGGGGAAGAGGGAAGGGATGAAATGAGCTTAGTCTAAGGAAGTAAGAGGCTATCAGAAAATTGACTACCTCATCTATGAGAATTTTTATACAAACCTAATGGTAACCACTAAACAAATAATTAGAACAGAGACACAAATGATAAATGAGGAGAAAACTAAGAAAATCATCATAGAAAACTACCTAAACAAACTGGTAGTACAAAATACATGGGACGAGAAACAAAGGAAATGCAGAAGAACTGGAAACTGAATGATAAAATGGCAGCATTAAGCCCCCACATTTCAATAATCACTCTAAATGTAAATGGATTGAATTCTCCAATGAAAAGACAGAGCAGTGGGATGGAGTGAAAAACATACCCAACAATATGCTGCCTTCAGGAAACACCACTGTGCTCCAAAGACAAACAGAGGCTCACATCGAAGGAACGGAAAACGATACTCCAAGCTAATGGCAAACAAAACAAAGAAGATGTTGCCAAACTTATAGCAGACAATGTAGACTTCAAGATAAAAAAGGTAAAGAGAGACAAAGAGGGGCAGTATATAATGGTGAAAGGGATACTCCACCAAGAAGACATAAGACATAAATATTTATGCACCAACACAGGAGCACCAAAGTACACAAAGAAAATATTAACAAAGCTACAAGAAGATATTTAAAACAACACAATAATAGTAGGGGACCTCAACACCTCACTTACATCAATGGATAGATCATCCAGACAGAATGTCAACAAGGAAATAGTGGAATTAAATAAAAAACTAGACCAGATGGACTTGATATAGATATAGATATAGATATAGATATAGATATATACAACACTCCATCCAAACACAGCAGAATAAACATTCTTCTCAAGTGGCCATGGGACATTTCCAAGGATAGAACATATGTTGGGAAACAAGGCAAGCCTCAAACAATTTAAGAAGATTGAAATCATATCAAGCATCTTTTCCAACCATAATGCTATGAACCTAGATATCAACAAGAAAAAAGTTGCAGGGTACAAAATCAACTTGCAAAACTCAGGTGTATTTCTGTACTCTAATAAGAAACTTACAGAAAGAGAACTCAAGAATACAATCCCATTTAAAATCGCAGCAAAAAGAATAAAATATCTAGGAATAAATTTAACCAAGGAGGTGAAAGATCCATATAATGAAAACTAAAAGACATTATTGAAAGAAGCTGATAATGACATAAAGAAATTGAAAGATATTGCATGCACATGGATTGGAAGAATAAACATGGTTAAAATGTCCATACCACCTACAGTAATCTACAGATTCAATGCAATCCCAAGCAGAATCTCAATGACATTCTTCACAGAAATTGAACAAAGAATCCTAAAATTCACATGGGACAACAAAAGACCCTGAATCGTGAAAGCAATCCTCAGAAAAAAGAACAAGGCTGGAAGCATCACAATCCCTGACTTCAAAATATACTGGAAAGCTATAGTAATCAAAACAGCATGGTACTGGTACAAGAACAGGCACACAGATCAATGGAGCAGAATTGAAAGCCCAAAAATAAAACCACACATCTACAGACAGTTAATCTTCGACAAAGGTGTTAAGAACATTCAAGGGAGAAAGGAAAGTCTCCTCAATAAATGGTGTTGGGAAAACTGGACAGCCACATGCAAAAGAATAAAAGTAGACCATTATCTTTTGCCATACACAAAAATAAGCTCAAAATGGATCAAACACTTGAAGGTGAGACCTGAAACCATAAAACTTCTCCAAGAAAATATAGGCAGTTCACTCTTTGACATTGATCATAAAAGGATCTTTTCGAATACCATGTCCACTCGGACAAGGGAAACAAAAGGAAAAATAAACAAGTAGGACTTCATCAGACTAACGAGCTTCTGCAAGGAAAGGAAACCAGGATCAAAACGAAAAGACAACCTACCAACTGGGAGAAAATATTTGCAAATCATATATCTGACAAGGGGTTAACTTCCATAATTCGTGAAGAACTCACACAACTGAATAATAAAAAAACAACTAGATCAAAAAATGGGCAGAGGATATGAACAGACATTTTGCCAAAGAAGAGATAAAGATGGCTAATAGGCACATGAAAAGATGTTCAACATCACTAATCATCAGGGAACTGCAAATCAAAACTACAATGAGAAATCACCTTACATCCATTAGAATGGCTATAATCACCAAGACAAAAAACAACATGTTGGAGAGGTTGAGGAGAAAAGGGAACACTCCTACACTGCTGGTAGGAATGCAAACTGGTGCAGCCACTATAGAAAGCAGTATGGAGATTTCTCAAAATATTAAAAATAAAAATACCATATGGCCCAGCTATCCCACTACTGGGTATATTTATCCAAAGAACTTGAAATCAACAATTCAAAGAAACTTATGCACCCCCATGTTCATTGCAGCATTATTTGCAATAGCCAAGACATGGAAGCAATCCAAGTGCCCATCGACTGATGATTGGATCAAGAAGATGTGGTGTGTATATATATATATATATACACACACACACACACACAATGTGTGTATACACACAATATATACACACACACACACTATATATATATATATATATATGTATATATACACATACATACATACACACAATGGAATAGTACTCAGTCATAAAAAAGACCAATCATGCCATTTGCAACAACATGCATGGACCTTGAGGGTATGATATTAAGCTAAATAAGCCAGACAGAGAAAGATAAACACCATATGATTTCACTCATATGTGAAAGATAAACACACGGACAAAGAGAACAGTTTGGTAGTTACCACAGGGAAGGGAGTTGGGGGTAGGCACAAGGGGTGAAGGGGTGCATTTATATGGGGACTGACAAATCATAATGTACAAGTGAAATTTCACAATGTTATAAACTATTATGATATCAATAAAAAATATTTTAAAAAAAACAAAAACAAAGAGAAAGATAGGTGGTTGTCAGCGTTTTGGATGGTGTGGAAGAGGAGGGATGAATAGGTGGTGCCCAGGGATTATTCAGGATAGTGAAACTATTCTGTATGACAGCATAATACTCGATCCATGTCACTATACATTTGTCAAAATCCATAGAATGTACAACACATTGGCTCATCAACTGTATCAAATGTACCTTGCTAATGCAAATGCTAATAATAGAGGAAACCATATGCAGGGGATTAGGTATATATGGGAACTCTGTATTTACCATTTAATTTTTCTGTAAACCTAAAACTACTCCAAAAATAAAGTCTCTTAATGTTAAAAAAATATGACTCACCCAAGGTCCTACTGCTCATTTTTGATTGAACAAGTACAAAGGCTACATCCTTGCTCATTAGGAAAATCACCAGGGACATCTACACATGGTACCAAACTGCTAGGATACTCTAGAAGCTTTCATTGCAAAAACCTCCAAAAGAGTAAATTTTGGACTGTGTCTGAGGTTCCAAAGCCCCAGGTTTGGTAATTATCTAGGAGGACTCACGGGAGTCAGCATATAGTCATACTCATGTCTAAGATTTATTTCAGTAAAAGTATACAAAGCAAAATCATTAAAGGGAAAAGATACATGGGGTGAAGTCCAGAGGAAACTAGGTTCAAGCTTCCTAGAGTTCTCTCTTAGTGTAGTCACACAGGACACACTTAATTACTCCAGCAACAAGTTATGACGACACATGTGAAATGTTGTCTACCAGGGAAGCTCATTAGAGACTGAGTGTCCTAGGTATTTACTCGGGGCTGTACATAGGTACCCTCTGCTGAGCATGTACAAAAATTCCAGACTCCCAGAAGAAAACAACGTATTTAGCATAAACCACATTGTTTGTACAGGCATTCTAGGCACAGTGAGTCACTCTTACCATTTAGGGAAACTTTTACATCAGTGTAGGGAACTGTTTACCAGCCAAGTTCCCAGACACCAGCATAGAGTAATCCTGTACAGAGACCCTTCTAAGCATAATAGTCTCAGGCCTCTTATGTTAACTCTTTTCTGCATAGGAACCCTGGCACAAAATAGATGGAAAAGGAAGAAAACAAAAGTGTGCTAAATGAAAATGGCAGAGTACCCTAGACTAGTACTTCATTTCAGTTTCTGGAAGAGAAGCAGTCCTTCAACTTTTCCATACTAACTCCATCCACCACTCATCACCTTCAAGCACCTCATGCGATGCAATGGATACTCACTAAATCAGGTGTCAGGAGATGAGATTCAGCTTTGCCAAAATCTGTGTGACCTTGGACAAGATGATTTCTAAGAACATTTTCGGCTCATGTCTATGACCTTATTCAATCAAGTATCTCTTTTCATACTTGAATCGTCAATTTCTCTATCTTTTACTGGATCTTTTATCCAACATATAGATTCATTCTTACATTAAAAAAATTCTTAATCAGTTACTTTCTTCCTTCCCTTCCCCGATGTCACTCTTCTGACTTAGGGTCTCTCCTCTAGATCATTGCAATACTTTCCTAAACTGGCTTTCCTGCTTCCAGTCTCTCCCTGATCCAATTCATCCTATAGCCTCAGCCAGTTTAAGGTTCCTAAAATAGAATTCTACTCATATTGCTTGCACAACAAAAGGCCTTCAATGATTCTCCTAAAATTCAATACAAATTCCTGAGTCTATTACTTCATAATATGGCCTCAACTTGCCTGATCCTATCTTGTAAATTCTGGCCAAATAATTTCCGAAACATACTCTATGCTTTTCATTCTTGGAAAGGTCCGCTTCTCCACTTCCATCTGTCAAAAACTTTACCTATTGTTGAGAGACCACCTCAAATCAGAAGGGCAACATTCTTCCACAAAGGCACTTCTCCACATCCAAATGTAAGTTTTTTTATTCTCCAAACCCTTTCCCACACCTACGAGGATACCACCAACACATACACATTACAGTATGTAAAAAGTTCTACTCGTATAAAAGTTATGCATATTCTTATTTTAGCATCCCAACTGTAAACTGCAGGAGGGAAAGAAGCATGTCTTACTGTCTTTGTAGCCCTGTTGCACCTAGCATAGTGCCTGGCATGTGGTAGGCAGACAACAAAGAGTGGCTTATTTGATCTGAAGTCACTGCAACTTCCATGTAAGCTGTAGTCCCAGTGCAGGGCCAAAAAAAAGCCAACGTTGGAATAACTCAGGGGAAAAAAGTAGGAGATCTGTTCCTGATCTATCAAATACAGCACTAGTTTAAATTTATCCTCACAACAGTATTTTAACCCTATCCTTGTGTGGAATCTGGAACCAGAAACTTAGACCTGAAAGGGACTCTGGAGATCAATGAATACCACTCCTCCTTCAAAAGACAGGGGAACTGAGGCCAAAAAGAAATATCTTATTGAAAATCACACCTTGAGTGAGTGAAGGAGCTAGCTTGAGAACTCAGGGCTCCTGAGTCCCAGGCCATGGTTCTACCTGCAAGCGCTACTATCATACCTGGTTCCCTGCTGGGGCAGGGTATGAGGAAAGCCTTGCAGCAGGATGTTGCCACTGCTACCAAGACATAGCTGGCAATGGAAGGTGGGGACAGGCTTTTTGAACATACCTCTTGTAACTGAGATTCTTTCTTTTTGGAAGACAGATGTAGGTGCCGATCCAGCAAGGAATAAAACCTCTCGCCATCCTTTTCAAATTTCTTTTTCCGCTCCTAGACATGGGAGAGAAGGCACAGACTAAGATGTCTAGTTTTAATTAGGTCTGCTCAGAACTGAGAATGAATGATGCAGTATCAGGTTTCATGTGGCCAATCTCTCTAGCTCCTGGGAATAAAAAAAAGCAAGGGAGAATTTGCTTTTACATTGGTCTCAGCAGTTTCCGCTTCCTCAAATATAACCCTGAACCATTCTACCTACAGAAAGGGCAGTTCCTACTGGTAGAACTTAAGGCTCTGGGAGCTGCTGCTCAATGAATGACACTTACAATGGTCCTGTGTACGCTGCTACTTTTCCTTCTCCCCAATATTATTCATATGCATTAACAATTCATTCAATTTTTTTAAAAAAAAGGAGGAATAATAAGAAACACAGTAGTGAACTAAATACATGCCTTTAAAAGGTTAATCTACAATGCATTTAGATAGCCTAATAGTAAGCAAAACATTTCCAAGGCAATAGGAACTTGAGACTGCCTCTGTGAACGATGAGTTCTTTGCTATTGTTTAAGCATTTCATTACTGCATATTTAAAGATGAGGAAGAAATCCTGGAAGATTTAGCTGAAAAGCACGAGTTGAAAAGCTTTATGGGGGATGGAAGACTCAGCCGTCCCTCTCCTCAAGTATGAATTTTTTTTAAAATTGGCACCTGAGCTAACAACTGTTGCCAATCTTCTCTCTTCTTTTCTGCTTTTTCTCCCTAAATCTCTCCAGTACATAGTTGTATATATAGTTGTGGGTCCTTCTAGTTGTGGCATGTGGGACGCAGCCTCAGCATGGCCTAATGAGCAGTGCCACATCAGTGCCCAGGATCCGAACTGACGAAATCCCGGGCTGCCAAAGCGGAGGGTGAGAACTTAACTGCTCAGCCACAAGGCTAGCCCCAAGTATGAAATTTAATTAAACTCTCTGCCTCTCAGCACACTAGAAATCACACAGCCTCCAAAGGAGCACTAACAATGCTCCTTTGTCACAGACTAATGCTGACACTCTGCAATCCTCTCAGCATTATGCTGGGAAATTCATGTAAAAGACTTGCGTTGTCTTATAGAAAACCCAAACTCACTGAGCACCCACGGTGTGCCAGGTACTAGAAGAGGCACAGCAAGGGACACACAGACAAAAAGAAAAAGATACCTAACCATGGTTCACTTCTAGAGGCAATCTGTTGCTTGGCTAGAAGCCAAGACAGAGCCGAGTGACCTCTGACCTGTAAGGAGTGTGCTTTTTACCAGAGGGAAAGGAGTAGAGAGGAAGCTAACATTAACTGAGGCCTACATCAGGCCAGGCAGACTGTTAGGTACCTAAAATTCATAATCTCATTTAGTCTTTACAACCCTGAGAAGTAGATATTGTAAAGGAAATTAAGGTTCAAAAAAGGTGAACTAACATGTCCAAGATCACATAACATACAGGTCTATCTGATTTATTCCACACAGTCAAATAGAGCCAGATGATCATGGAAGGAATTACAGAGCTGAGTGACTCTGACCTGTAAGGAAAATGCTTTTTACCAGAGGCTTATAAATAATCAGGGAGCCTTGTGAATAAAACTCAAGTAGGTCTATAGCCCTACTCCAACTCAGATACCAAAACATAGGAGATAGAGATTTTCACACAAAAGATAGCTAGGGCAAACTGTTCCTCCAGCTGCTGAATCTATTTAAAGCAGCAATTGGCTGAAGAAAGCATGGGAGCCAGAAAACAACTTCTCTAGAAATATGTCAAGTTCTGTGGGTCACTTTTTCCTCCACTTCCATTTTTTAAATGGAAAACTATGAGATAGAAAATACATATCATAAAATTCATCCTTTTAAAGTGTACAATTCATTGGTTTTTAGTATATTCATAAAGTTGTACAACCATTACTGCTAATTCCAGAATATTTCCATCACCTCAAAAACAAACTCTATACCTATTAGCAATCATTCCCCATTCCCCCTCCCTAACGAAACCACAATTCACTTTATGTCTCTATAGATTTATCTATTCTAGACATTTCATCTAATTGAAATCATACAAGATGTGGCCTTTTGTAACTGTCTTCTTACATTTAGCATGTTTTCAAGGTTCAGCATGTGGTACCATGCGGTACTCCATTCATTTTTATGGCTAAATAATATTTGATTGTATGGCTATACCATAGTTTCTTCATGAATTCATCAGTTGATGGACATTTGGATTATTTCCATTTTTTGGGCTGTTATGAATAATGCCGCTATGAACATTCATGTACAAGATTTTCTGCGGTCATGTTTTCAATTCTTTTGGGCATACACATAGGAGTAGAATTGCTGAGTCATATGGTAACTCTATGTTTAACTTTTTGAGGAACCACCAAACTGTTTTCTAAAGTGAGAGTATCATTTTACATTACCAACAGCAATGAATGTGAATTCCAATTTCTCCGCATCTTCACCAACTCTTCTCTGTCTTTTTGAATATAACCAAACCAGTAGGCACGAGGTTGCATTCACTGTGGTTTGATTTGCCTTTCCCTAATGACTAATGATGTTAAATGTCTTTTCATGTGTTTATTAAAAACACCTTTGTATATATATTCTTTGGAGAAATGTTTATTGACTTATTTTGCCTTTTTTCAAATTGAATTTTTTTTACCTTTATATTTTTGAGTTACAAGAATTCATTATATACTCTGAATACTACAAGTGCAAGTATTTTTCTCCCATTCTCTGGGTTGTCTTTGCAATTTCTTGGTAGTGTCCTTTGCAGCCCAAACATATTTAATTTTGTAAAGTCTAATTCAACTAGTTTTGCTTTGGTTGCTTGTGTTTTTGGTGTCATATCTCAGAAACTGTTGCCTGATTTAAGGTCATTAAGATTTACACCTATATTGTCTTCTAAGAGTTTTAGATTTTTGGGTTTTACTTTTTGATCATGATGAAATGTGTGACTCCAACTTCATTCTTTTGCTTGAGGGTATCTAGTAATCCCAGCATCTTTTGTTCAAAAGACTATTTCACCATTGAATTGTCTTAGCATCCCTGTAAAATATCAATTAACCATAAATGTGTAAGTTTACTTTTGGACTCAGTTCTATTCAATTGATCTATATGTCCCACCACACTGCCTTGATTACAATAGTTTTGTAGTAAGTTTTGAAATTAAAAATTGTCTTTTTTTTTTTTTTTTTTTGCTGAGGAAGATTCGCCCCAAGCTAACATCTGTGCCAATCTTCCCCTATTTTGTATGTGAGTTGCTGCCACAGCATGGCTGCCAACAAGTGGGCTAGGCCTCTGCCTGGGAACCAAACACAGGCCACAAAAGTGGAGCATGCTGAACTTAACCACTAGGCCATGGGGCCAGCCAAAAAACTGTAGGACTTTTTCTATCCTGGTCCTTTCTATGTGGATTTTAGGGTCATCTTATCAATTTGTGCAAAATGGTCAGCGGTGATTTTGCTGGAGATTGCATTGAATCTGCAGATCAATTTTGTGAGTACTAACATCTTAATATTAAGTCTTCCAATTCATGAACATGGGATGTCTTTCTATTTATTTAGGCCTTCCATATTTTATTTAAGTCTTCCTTAATTTCTTACAATGATGTTTTATACTTTTCAGTGTACAACTCTCACACTTATTTTGTTACATTTATGCCTAAGTACTTTAATCTTTTAGATGCTACTGTAAATGGGATTGTTTTCTTAATTTTCTGAATGTATAGAAATATAACTTATTTTTGTATATTGATCTTGTATCTTGCAACCCTGTTGCACTTCTTTATTAGTTCTAACAGTGTGTGTGTGCATGTATGTGTGCATTCCTTAGGATTTTCTATATACAAGATGAAGTCATCTGCAATTAGAGATAGTTTTACTGCTTCTGTTCCAACCCTGGCTAATTATCCTGACTGGATCCTCTAGCAAAATGCTGAATAGAAGTGGCAAGAGTGGACATCCTTGTCTTGTCCTTGATCTTAGAGGGAAATATTTTAGCCTTTCACTATTAAATATGATGTTGGCTGTGGGGCTGTGGGTTTTCTGTATCTGCCATTTATCAGGTTGAAGAAGTCCCCTTCTCTTCCTGGTTTACAGAATATTTTTATCATGAAAATGTGTTGATTTTGTCAAATGCTTTCTTTGTGTCTGAGATATTTGTGTACTTTTGTCCTTTAATATATTAATATAGTGTGATGCATTGATTGATTTTTTAGATATTAAACCAACCATGCATTCCAGGGATAAGTCTCACTTGGTTATGGTATATGATTCTTTTTATATATTGTTGGATTTGGTTTGCTATATTTTGCTGAGGATTTTTACATCTATATTCATGAAGGATATCTGTCTGTAGTTTTGATTTCTTGTTATGTCTTTGGTTTTGCTATCAGGGTAATACCTTACTCATGGAATGAGTTGGGAGGTATTTTCTCCTCTTCAATTTTTGGAAAAGTATGTGAAATATAAGTGTTAATTCTTTAAACATTGGGTAGAATTCATCAGTGGGACCAGCTTGTCCTGGGCTTTTCTTTCCATACAGTTTTCTGATTACTAAGTCAATGGCTTTATTTGTTATAGGTCTATTCAGATTTTCTATTTCTTGTGGAGTCCACTTACATTTAATTCCACTAAAGTCAACCACCAGTGACATCAGCCTACTACTTCTGAGCCACTCCAACATAGGTTAAAAAGAACACCTTTCATTTCAGGGTCAATTTGACTGCAAGAGCCAAATGCAACAGAGGCTCTAATCAAGAGCCATTTTCCATCCTCTGGTAAAAATGCTACATTAAGACATTTGTTGGGGCCCACCCCATGGCCGAGTGATTAAGTTCAGGCACTCCAGTTCAGCAGCCCAGGGTTTCAGTGGTTCAGATCCTGGGTGCAGACCTAGCACTGCTCATCAAGCCATGCTGAGGCAGCATCCCACAAAGCAGAACTAGAAGGACCTACAACTAGAATATACAACTATTTACTGGGGGGGCTTTGGGGAGAAGAAAAATAAAAAAGATTGGCAACGGATGTTAGCACAG